ATTCGTTCAAAGACGAGATGACTGCCTTTGCTGGATCAGGATTTGTATCTCATATGACCCCATCTCTCTATAAGAAGTATCTGTTTACCAGACGAAAGTTACCAAGCACAAACATCAGCAACCCTAGAGACGATTGTTGTTGGCACCTTTCAATATTTCCACACAATAGTGTCCATTGTGCTGTAGGAGGGGTTGGAAGAGGGGGGAGGGGGTGTCATTGATATAACAGCCTATTCCAATTAGGGCCAAGGGTGGAATTCTTTCCTACAAAGTACAAAGCCTGAGCAGTGAGTATTGCACACACACACACACACACACACAAAAGTGTTGCCCATGCAGAATGATCCTTCCTCTTTCTTTCTGATATCAATATCTGCTTATGTCGCTCTACATCGCAGCTCATTAGACGACCGGCAGCCGAGCCAGGGCACGCTAGATTCTTGATATTCCATGATGTTATGGAGCCTCAAGGTGTCATGACCCCTTCAATCCATCTTCTTCTCGTTGCCTCTTGGTGTTTCGATTTTCAGGTTGTACGCTCTTGCTGATGGAATCGTTGATTTTATTCTCATTAGATGGCCGAACCATTTCATTCTTTGTTTCTCAATGCATTTGACGATGGGTGTTGTTCCAACAGTTCCCGTGATCGCGTCGTTTCTCACTCATTCTCTTCTGGTTTATTCACAGGCATTCTAAATCATCGTGGTAAGTTTTCTCTAGTTTTCTTTAGTCAATGTCTAAAGTCGGTATAAATATTGTATTTATAATTAGTCTTTATGTCTCTATTATGATAGGGTGTTTGAAAATTGCAAGTTGATACGTGACATTGTTGGCTTGTTGGATTCGCGTTTCTATTTCTCTACTTTACCATTGTATGTAAAGATGCTTCCCAATTACTTAAATTCTTGCACTTGTTTCAGACTGATTACCCAACGCCGGACGCAATTTTATTTTTATTTTTTTTAGGAGCCCTACCCTGGCTGTTGCTGAGGGCCGTGGGTTAAACGGGGTTTCTGTGATCTCTCTCCTCGTGACCCTAGTCCGCGTGGTGGTACTTTGTGTCACCTGGTGTTTGTTGCTTCGTGGATGTCCTGGTGGGGTTGAATCTCACTCACTCAGACTTTGATCTATGATCTTTATGTCGATTGTGTACGTTTGGAACAAAGCATGATGCAAGAAGCTGCCGGATCAGAGGAGATGCATTCTGTCTGTACGCACGTCTGAACCTCCCTCATAAACCAGCTGCAGACCAAAGCTAGGACGGCCTGCCCACCCATAACATTACATTTTCAGGTTGTATTTCCTTATGATAGATTAAAGCCCCCTCCCCCGTGAGCTTTTCTGTCTGAAGCTATTGGCACAAGTGGGATCGGATATCTACACCGTCCAACGTCCAAGAATTGATAGAGGACAAGCTAGATGTTTGAGAGTAAGTGAACAGTACAGAGGCATGTTGTGAGGGCTTTTTGGGAGCAAGTAAACAGAACGGAGGCACAGATAGATCATTACGGTCTGAGGTGAATGGCGCTGCGGGGAGTTATCATGGGATCTGGCCGACGCTCAAGGGAAAGGCGAGATGTTTATACAATCAGAGGGTTACTGGTACCATCGGAGTTGGAACTCTTTGCTTGATGCTGAAGATGGGGACGGAACTCCTATGCGAGTGTCCCGAGTGCTGTGATGTCGATTCTGAATTCAACATTCAACATACGTCCAGCGTCCAGTGCTGACAGAAAACAGACAGCGACTGCTAATATTATACAGTAGAATTCCTAGTCCGCTACATATAGTGTTCAATGGCACTTGTCCGAAGCAAGCTAAAGAATTTAAATGTCTAAAAGCTATATTCTCGTATGACAGGAGAATAGATTTTGAAATAAAAACAAGATTCCAACGAGCTAGTGCATTTATATACCAACTGACATCGTTATTAACACATTTAAATATAAGTATGAGCTCCAAAAAAAAAAAAATGATAAACAACCATATTCATACCCCACACTGTGCTACCACTGCCAGACTTGGACATTTTCAAAGGCTAATCTACGTAAAATTTACACGTGTGAAAGGAGATGCAATGAGAAAAGCCGCAAACCTAACTATCCGCCACAAAGTTAGAAATGATATTATCAGACAGACATGCAGCAAACTCATTGAGAAAAAAAAAAGATCAAATCGTTTGGTTATTTAGAAAGAATGCAGCCTGTTGAACTACCAACGCAGGCGCTAAACATGAACACATCTGAAGTAAACTCAATGTAACAGGCTGGAAAACGACAAAAGACTACAGTTCAGCAGGCTGAAGATCTTGATTTAATCTAGTTTAAAAATTGCCAAGACACCACATAAACAGTTAGTCTTATACATTAAGATAGGGAAAAATCTGGAAAAGTCTGGCCACTGGGTACAAAAGACTTTGTTTAGTCTTTCAGCAACCTATTTGACTTCTGGACGGACCCTGTGGGAAACCTGCCTGGCTGTTGCGACCTTGCACATTGAGACAGCCAGCGGGTATAGCGACCGCAGGGAAAGGCCGTAGTCAGACTGATTTCGCAGGCGGTGGTACGTTTCAATTGGTTAGATAATGTTTGATTTTATTTCTATTTTGTATTCTCGCTAGGAGGTGGTTTGATGGCAGGTCGCTATAAGTGATTTGTCGATTTGTTGGCATATTGAAGCTTAACGCACATGTAAAATATGTTTCGGTTTTTTGCCAATGGTTGAGGTAATCTCGCTGAACGTATGGTGTCATTATCATTTTTCTTTTTTAGCTGGAGATGATTCATGTTTTAGACTCTGGTCGAGCATGTTTGTTGTTGTTAATGTTTTTCGTGGACCACGCTGATGTTATGTTTAGTAAAATAAACAGATGTTCAATGTAGTCTTCATAGTTTTAGTTGTTTTCCGTTCGGCTTAAGACTTGTAGTTAGTGTGTCTAGTTTAGTTTATTTGTTGCTTGGCTGGTCTAGACATTACACAGAAGATTTCTTGTCAGGGTGTGGTATTATTGATCTTACCCCCGCCATGACGAACTTTTTCTCTTTTTTTTTTTTGTAACTGAGGGAGCTTATGGTTGGGTTTGGCCTCCACTCGCCACGTGACATTGTTTACAGCTCTTGTAGGCTCGGAGTCGAAGAGATTTCAAGTAGTAGATTTTAATATTATCCTCTTTATAGTTATCTCTTCCCTTTCCCCCATTACGAGATGCCCCCCTCTAGCTTTGCTTCTAGTACATCAAGATGGATTGATGACGTTATAAAGCTTCTACATCAAAACAGAATGACAATAGGTATTGCTGTTCATCAAAAATTAGATAGCAAACTGTTCTCTACCCCCACCTGACGAAGCTTAACAACAGAAGTAGAAATTGAGAATGATTATGATGATGCATGTTACACAGTAGCTTACTACAACGACCACTAGGATTAAAACAGATGCCTTCCCCAACGGAGGAGCAAAACATACGACACAGATCTTACTGTACTCTGTTCTTTAGCGTAAAATGAACTCTACTGCGACCGTCCACGGGTGACAGGGTCATAACTGTTTGCAGGAAGTCAACATCGTCATCAAAAGTGTGCTCATCGACGTCAACGACATGAATCTTTAATCGAGCACGTCCCTGCAATTAAAATTATCTAGGATAAAATAAAATAACAATAGTTTCTAGCAGACGATGAAACAAACTACTAAGCATAACTATATAAATGCATAGACACACATATTGCTTACGTATATAGCCATCCCATATTGTAGAGCAAAAGCCTATATATGTCTGGATGTGAGGAATCTTGAATATCTTTCTTGTCTTTTCATCATGAAAGCTTTTAATTTTTGCAAGATGGTAAATCTTTTCAGCTGTTTGTTTCACAAGTGCTTGTACATGAGAGCTTAATGTACAACCTTTGTGCCTTGTGTTTAGTTACATTTTCTACTGCATTCTTCCCAGTGTAGAGTTGAAGCGCTGTGTGTGAATTTAAACTAAATAGTTTTTGTCTGGTCGCTTTTAACACAGATTTTGTTTTGGTACTGTTTCTTTGCATATGGTTTGGACTGCTCCATTTGACTACTTTATTTAATTCTTGTTGTAATGACGACTCTAGCACATTACAAGTTTGAGCTCTTGTATAGATCGTGCAGTCGTCTGTGAATAAGTCACAGGACAATGACAGACATAGGGAATGATCATTTATGGAAATACCGAATAACAGAAAGCCATCTTTTCAAGGCAGTGGTTTGCGATAGGGATTTGCTGTATGAGATTTTTTTTTTTTTTTTTAAACAAAAAGAATGTTATGTTATTTAATAGCCTGGACAGCACTATGCCACTACAGCTGACACAGCGTCGTCTATAACCGAAGTATGGCAATTTCAGAGACAAATGCTTATGAGCCAGATTTTTCTGGGGTGCACAGACGATGTTGAAGTTAACTGCATATCCCTTACAGGCTGTTGCAAAGCCAACCCCAGCATCATTTCGCTGTTTCATACTAGGCAGTGTTAGGTTCAGTAGCTTGTCATTACTTTAAAAGGTCACCTCTCCATTTCACTGTAAAAATCAACGCAAGGCGATCTGCTGCCGACTAACCGCATCTGGAATTGAACCAGGTACCTCGAAATTGCGAAGCCCTTTATCAACGCTCAAGTCAGAGGTAGAGTATCATTATTCTTATTTATTTTCCTTTGTTTATTTTGAGAATATTACTATTCAGTTAAAACACTCTTATTTACTTTATGAGCCATTATAGAAATAAACCCAAAGTATTTTGGCAAACGCTAGACAGGCTAATTAATTTTCAGACAACTTGGAGACATTACCGGCCAGCTATTTATCCTGAACACAACAGGGTTGGCAATCACGCCTATCCTATCACCAAACGTGATGTGGTTGGCGTTTGCGATCTCTCTGGACACTGTTTTTCCATAGGAGCAGTAACTGACACTGTCTGCAACCCTGGTATAAAATATAATGTCACTTAAGGAAAATCATAGAGAAAACAACAACAACAACACACAAACACACACAGAGATAAATATATATACGTATATATACACATGCATGCATACATGCTACATACATCCAGTTTTAACATATGGCTGTGAATTCTGGACAATCTGTAGGCAGGCCAAACAATTTCTAGAGGCCTCAGAGATGTGGTTTTACAGAAGAATGCTTAGAATACCTTGGACAGCCAAAAAGAGCAACCAAGAGGTTTTGAAAGAGGCGGGAGCCCGAAGACAACTAATCAAAGACATCAGAAGGAGACAGTCATCATTTTTCGGTCATTTTAATGAGAAGAGGGAAAATAGAACATGATGTGACCACTGAAAACATCTGTGGAAGGAGGGATAGAGGAAGACAACGAGAGAAAATGCTTGACAGTCTTGTTGCATGGCATGGAGGTGTGTCTGCACACGAACTGATACATGCTGCAGGAGATCGCAGATTATGGAGAGGCATGATCGCCTACGCCAGTCGGCAAGGCACCTGATGATGATGCATACATACGAGAAATGATGATAAAGTCCAAAAATAAAGACATGATAAAGTCTCTCCCCCCCCCCCGCCCCATTTTCCCAGGGAGTTGGTAGACCTATTAGTTAGCGGTTTTTGTCTTCTTTCTCAACACCACTGTTTAAACTAACTCAAGGCGGTCTGCTGCCAAGTTGTCAGCAGCTGGGAATGCACCCAACCACCCAGAATTACGAAACGTATTCGTAACGCCTAAGCCACAAACGTTTTAAAAAAATGTAAATGACCCCTTTCCCCGCCTTCAGGCGTACTTGGCAGTGAAGGCTAGAACTATACAGTATAGACCAATCGACACTTGGTGGGTGTAGTGGTCAGCATCACGTCAGCCGCCTTTACTTCCAAGGACTGCAGCTGGTGCCCACTCAAGGTTGTGTCGACCTGCGAGCCAAGGTCATTTTTGAAGAAAGCCTGGCTGAGTCAGAACCAGAATCAACGATCTTAGTGGAACGTCTAACAGCTACACCACGGCAACTCTCCGTACAGTTAGACCTATATTTATATAGACTAAACGTCACCCAATCGGTGATGCAGTAAACATCACGACGACCGCCTTTACTACCCATGGCATTACCTGGTAGTCATTTTAGGCTTGGCTACACGGGAGACGAGGTCAATACAAAACTGAACCTGAGATCATCGGGCTTGCGGGCAAGCACTTCTTCACAATTACCACCATCGAGTGACTTGACGACTGGCTTAGGCGATCTTGCCTCTTCACAATCTGCAGTCTCCAACAGCTTGTATTATTTTATGTGTTGACACTCCTCAATGCTATGACAAAAGGCTGTCAAGGATCTTCTAGCATCCTTCAAAATTGTACCTTTTAAATGTTCTTTCCAACTGAAAAGCCTGGCTTAATTTACTGGCGTGAATCTATGGAGTATCATCGAATCGACGACTTTACATTATTTCCTATTATGTGGGTATTATATATCATTACCTTCTAACACGCACTTAAATCAAAATATTATTGGTACCATCACAGTTGGATCTCTTCGCTTGCTGCTGACGATGGGGACGAAGCGCTGATGGGAATGTCCTAAGTTTTATGATGATGATTCTTATACTCAACTTAACCCATTAATTTCTTAGGTTGTGGAAACACTAATTTCCAGGGAGAAATTAACCCTTGAACTTAAAGCGTGAGGCAAACGACCTAACCAGTATTGTGATCGCCTGGCGCGCTAGCTAAGTTGCTTAAACCAACTGCTAGGTGACCGGGTGACAAACTCCTTGTGGTCCTAGTTCACGCTCGGGGGTTAGCAGAGAAGCAACAAGTTTCCAAGATTAGGGAATCTATCGTGGAATCAATGCCAAAGGGTTGCGATATCCATAGTACCGAGCCAAAGGGTTTCCAACTCTTGGTTCGTCGATACAAAACCACAAACGCAAAAGTTGTCCTGGTTATAATTATGTCATTCATTATTTCTTTGTTTTTCAATCCTTAACATAATATGTTAATATAGTCAGTTCACAGTCAGCATATTTTTGTGTGTGTTATGATTTGTTGCTTGTAGGTTGTTTTGCCGATGAAGGCTAATCGCCGCAACGTTCACTGCTTATTCGTTGTAACTGGTTTCGTAAAGCTGACATATACACAATATTCTCCTTACCCTTTTCATATCTCTTATCTTTCCAGTTTTGTTTTAAAAAGTAGACATTTGAACTTACCCATCTGCACGATCAAGGCATATAGTAAAGCTGTGGTCACACTGAGATCCACAGAAGAAAAATTTCCCGTCGCAGCAGTGACCGTTGCTCCCTCGACCTCGAGGGTTCCAAAATGTCAAGAACCTCAGAGAAACAAAGGCATCACTAGTTGCCAGCTGGGGAAACAAGAATTTGCCGACTAAATTTTCATTCTTTTACATGAGAGTTTAAAGTATAGAGCAGTGATTCCCAAACTGTGAAAAACAAATTGTCCAGGGCTCCTCACTACCTGGAAATAGCACCATCCTCATCATGATGTGCCACACCGAAAAGCATAGGCGGCCATAACCTGTCCCCGTCCTATACACGTGGCGAAGCCATCAAGGTATTTATCCCTTTGCGCTGTTCCCGACACCCCCCCCCCCCCCCCACCCCACAAATGCCCGGTTTATCTTTCTATCATACTTGACAGTTGCCACCAAGATCCCGAGTCTATTCTTTGCCTTGAAATATACCTTCTGTAATCAAACATTAAGAATGACAGGACCTGTTCACGTTTCCCGGGGCATCTACACACTTTCTCAGTCTGATCTAGGTTGGAGGGGCGTCACATTGAACTGCTTTCTTTGAAAAGAATCTCTCGTGTGACCTAGGCTCAGGCTGTGGGTAGAGTGGGGGGGGGGGGGGGGCAGGTTGGGTTAGGGCCAGTTCTAGATGTTCTGGGGTTGTTGAAAGCTGTATTGTCGTATAGCATAGAATACGCGACATCAGCACTTATATAACTGGAGACAAGACAGCGTGACACCCCTCCGACGTAGAAGAGTCTAGTATGAATGAAAGGTCAGCCAGTGTGTAGATGGGCCGTGAAACGTGATATATTGGCAGTTCTATTTTGTATTGTTTTTCAGTACTCACCTTACATTGCGCTCTGGTCTGTAGTTTTTATAGTCTTCTCTCTACTTCAGCTTCTTATACTGTTGTAATAGTGTCTTTGGCGTTTCAAAGCTCTGATAAAGGGGGACTTCAAGAGGTTTTCTGTTGCCTTCGTTAGTTCTGCCTTTCTATTTTTATTGATTTATAATTGGCTTAAATTCACTGCTGGGTTAGTTTTGTTCTTGTGGACAGCAAATCTAATTGTTATTTTTTTTTTTGGTATTTCTTATTCCCACTTTGTTTAAAAAGAATTTAATAAACAGCAGGAGTTTACCGATCATCAGTAAAAGAGTCCCTCATCAACAATTGTTTCGGCTCATTATCCTTCTATACAATTTAAGATGGTGGGCCGACCTGGGTCATGACTCCTAGGCCTCGGACTCTCCTAACGCCTTATCAGACATCGGATGAGACGAAATAGTGGCAACAGGTATTGTGAGGTTTGGTGTTTTATATATATAGTGTCGCTGCGGTAGCAAATTAGCCTTTTACCTTCAGGACCAGAGTGACAAGTGGACAGTTGGTTCATCGGACAGGACAGACGTTAGACTTAGGTAATTGGCAGAGAGACACTGGCAGACGTTACTTGAACACTGGCTTTTAGGGATGAAAAGTTTCTTTCCACTATGGGGTTCGGACCAGTCTACAGAGGCCCATCCACCACGACATTCCGTTGTGTCCACAGCCAACTCGAAGCTCTTTCAGCAGCTTCACCCAGTTGTCTTAGCGCCCGTTTACGGTCTTTTGCTGACAACCTCAGATGATTTAGTACATTGTATGTGGAAGTGGAGATAAGCCCTCTTGCAGTCTGGTAGTCTGGTAGTCTGGTAGTCTTAGTTTCAGCTTCATAGCAACGGGTCGCCCCATCTTTGCTCCGCTCCTGTGCCAACGAAAAACACCCAGAATGTGGAAAGATTGACAGACTGCTGTCTCAGCATATCTAGCATACACTCGCATTAAAGCATACGGTAGCCATCCGAAGTGCTAACACAAACAGTTCATCATTGATGATAGCAGAACTTGTCGCCAACAGTTCAGCAGTTGTCCACGCGATCAATTGTAACCAGATACGGGCACCGCCAACATTGCACGCCATTTTCTGAATCTACTATTCACACCACCACGTTGGTCACAGTCGAAAATACATTCCAAATGCAATCCGCAGCTCACAGGGTCACGTCATGCATTCAACTCAGAAGCTGGGCGACGAAACTATGTCCAGTCTACAAATGGAGCAAAAATACTTCGGCCACAGTCCGGCAGAAGCAAAAAACTTGCCTCTGCTTCGAACAGCGCCGCTGTCTAGCGTCCATTTTAACCGGAAGTCCAACCTCGACGGCGAAGAGTTTTGCCGTGTGCGTCTCATGGCTCCTTAGATGGGCAACAAGGTCTCTATACTTTTCGAGCTTGTATATTTTTCAATTATGTCTATCCGCGATTCGTACGACACGCTAAGCTCCATTAGGATGAGCTGGTATTTTTCTGCATAGTGCAGAACCATGTCTGGTTTCTAGCTAGTCTTTCGGATTGATTCAGAGTACTTTTCGAAACCAGGCAGGTCGACCGCCAGTAACCAGTCCCTCTCACAGTCAAGTATTGATGGAGCATATCCGACATTGTTGACTTTACCTTTAGAAATACGCCCATCCTTGAGAAGAAGCGTATGATAGTAACGTTAGAACTGGCCCTAGCGTTGGTTCTCATCCTGGCTTTGTCCACAGTGTCGGCTAGCTCTTTCCGAACTCTGTTGTGGCGTCATGTATATCGTCCCTGTCCTAGGGCTTTACTGATGCAGAAAATACGTGTTCGAGCGTTTGGCTAACTCTGCGCAGGGAACATGTCGGGTCGGTGGTCGCATGCCTTTTGGCCATGTTGGCGCCAGAGAGTCATACATCATAAGCAGACCTTGTGACAAAGCTCAGCTGCAGCGGGGCCATTCGCCAGATCTTACCCCATGTGAGAAATCATGGCAAGGTGCTCTCGAGGTCGATGCACTAGTCTTGCTGTGACTGTTGGGAGGCTTTTTGGACCTGAACCTCGTTTTCGGTGTCCCTTGTCTGCTGCTGTATTACCATGTATCTGCGTTCCTTGGTCGATTGCTGCACAGCGGCCACTGTGGGTCTGAAGACTCGCGCAGCATCATCTCAGGTGTTACCTTGCCGACTTTAAACCCTCTGGTTATTGATTTGAACAGAAGTACCAGTTGAGCCTGCTCAAAATATGGAGCCACATCACTCAGACAAGGCGGCGCTCCAAACCACTTTCTCATGGCGGTGCTGATTTTTTTTCTCCATAGTCTCCACTACACTCATGCTTACCTCATACACTGTAGCGGCCAGAGGAGCTTAGGAATCAGCATGAATTGGATACTCCAAACCTTGAACTTCACGATCAGCCTGCACTGCTCGATAGGAAGCAGGCCTGTTGCCAGTGACTCATGTACACGATAGATCTCCGCTCTATTAGATAACTTTCAATCGTAGACGTGGCCAAGACTCTTCACTAGTTCCTCGAGAACTGTTGGGATCTTTTTCCTTGCCACCGTGAAACTGGTGGTCACAACATTACCTTCATAGATTAAAAGACTCCTGGACGTCTGAGGCTTGAATTGCATGCCACACTATTCAACCACTCGATGCAGCCTATCTAAAATAACGCAGGCATGATGAGACTAAATCGTCATTTCGGGGATCTGTTTCGGTACCGCACACATTCAAGACTCACAGAACATAGTCGCGTGTTCTAGACACTAGGGGACGCCCGAGATGCCACCTTTTTCACTATTGTGTCGATAAATTTGTTCTGCGTGAGATACTGTGTGAACCTGCGCGCCATCCCTGAAAAGAATATCTTGCCTCAAAGCTCAACAGCGAGCTGGGCCTGAAATGTTATACATCGGTGAAGTCTCGCTCCTTGGGAATGTAGACCCCGCTGGCTCTCTGCCACTCGATACATAGTTACTTAGGGCTCCACGTTAATCTTAGCGAGCGGTAAAGCATTCAGAGGACTTTCGGACGGGAAACCGTTGGCTCCTGTGGCAAATTTGCCGCTGGCTTTTTTTTTACAACTTCTTCGACCTCAGACCAAGAGGGGGGCATAATTTTGAACTTTAACCTCGGCATCTCAGGCCAATTCAGGCCTAAATAAGATTTGCCCACCTAATTAGTGAGTCTTATTTATCAAAACCGTCTGTAAAAAAAACGTGTCCAAATATCGCATGGATGCTGATTTCTGAGTTCTAAAGTGAAAAAGCTCTATGTTCTGACTGTCCCCCCCCCCCCCCGCCCCCCCAACACACACACACACACAAACAATTTTTATTTAGATTTCCTCGGACTTCAAGAACATCACCGGGTAAAAATGGACAGTTAACTCGTAGTTTTGATGTTAGAGCTTCAACATCATTATGTTAGTTTTTGGTGCATGTTAAATGGAATTTGGCCAACTTTTAACTGTTATCATGACCGCACGATGTTAGTCTTCACTGTAATATAAGTGCTTAACACTCTTGACATCCTTAACAACAATATCGAGAGGTTTCAAGACAATGACACAGTTATTGTAATTGTTACCAAACTTTAAGGTTTTCATTTTAGATCACCTTTTAATAATTATGCTGTGTAGCTAGAATTTACATTAATAGAAGGTCCAATAAAGTAATCCTCATTAATGAATACATATATATATATCATCATCATCATGTAGAATCTTTGCAGAACGTGGCTCTCATCACGGTCTGCATGCAAGAAACTTGGTCTCTCGCCACCTCTCCTGCCTCATGTACTTTCATTTTCAAGGAGTCAATTATATCCTGTGCCCATCTTCGTGTTGGTCGGCCCCTGCTTATCCTTCCTGGCACCACGCCTTCTGGTATTACATTTTTTTTCAATCTGCCTGAGGCTCTTAATTTGAACAAATTATTTCAGCTTCTGAGACAAGATTATGTTGATTAGCCAATCTCCCTTGATGTTCAGATCTTTTAAAATGTCAGAATTTCTTCTCCTCTTTGTCCGTGGTATTCTGAGAGTCTTTCTATAGCATTTAAGCTCAAAAGCACATATTTTCTTTCTTTAGGACTAAGGAAAGGCGAGATGGATATACAATTAGACGGGTACTAATACCATCGGAATTTTAACTCGTGGCTTACTACTGAAGATGGAGACGGAGCGCTTAAAGGGGGGGGGGGGGGGGGGGGGTGTCCCGAGTTATTTTCCTTTTGATGAGACTAAATCGTCACTATCACAAATAGCAGTTTGTCAGTGTCGCTTATGTGTACTATTTGGCTGGCAGAACACAGGGCTAAACATATCCTTCAAAACATGTTTTGACATTTCCAGACTGACAATTGATGCACTGCAGCGGTTCCCAACCAGTTCTGCCTGGGGTTCCGAGTCCGCTCCAGGAAAATAAATAAATAATTCAACGAAATTAGAAATAAAGAAATAAGAAAATAGAACTTGCTGCCTCTAGCTCCAAAATTATTGACGATAGTTGCGAAGAAAAAACCCCTCATCCCTATTATCCTCCGCTCTTTAACAGTACTTCTAAGCACCCTTAACTTGTAAGAAATGGGGTACTGACCACCCACAGGCTCCCCCTTAGAAATGTATTCTCAAAAGGGCTCCGCAAGTCAATATAGTTTTGAACCACTGATGCAATATGACAAACATCTGAACTGAACTATTGATGAAAATATTATGCAGTCTTTTTCTATAGTTTCTATATCGTCTCAACATCATCATCATGTAGCAGGTCCTTTGCAGAACATCGCTCTCATCACAGTCTGCCTGAAAGAAACTGGGTCTCTCTCCAGTTCTTCCACCTCATGTACTTTCATACTCAAGGAGTCATTTATATCCTGTGTCCATCTTCGTGTCGGTCGGCCCCTGCCCCTCCTTCCTGGTACCATGCCCTCTGGTGTAATTTTTTCCAATCCGTCGTGGCGATTTATATGACCAAAATATTTCAGCTTCCGAGACAGGGTGCTGTTTATTAGCCAATCTTCCTTGATGTTCAGATCTTTCAAGATGTCAGTATTTCTCCTTTTCTTTGTCCAAGATATTCTGAGAATTTTTCTATAGCATTTCAGCTCAAAAGCCCCTATTCTCTTTCTTAAGGACTGGGAGATAGTCCACGACTCACATCCGTATGTAGCCACAGGGAAGATGCATGCTCTCAAAATTCTAATTGTTATCTCCTTGCTGGTGCTTAACCATATACTTTAAGGCTGTTCAATTTTGCATTGCTATGGCCATCCTCCTTTTAATTTATGTCAAACAGTCTCCATTGCTGTTTATTATAGAGCCTAGATATTCAAAGTTTGTGACAATTTTAATTTTTTCATCATTTATTGTTATTTTTGGGTGACAGCCAGTTTTATCTGTGAACATTAATTTTATTTTCTTTAAATTCAAAAACAAATTTTGATCTTCACTGTGCTTTTTGACAGAAAATTTATAGTTTTCTATTCCCTTTATGCTGTTCAAAAGGAGAACTGTGTCAAACTTATCTATAGCCGTCTACTATTCATTAATTAGTTATTCAACGAATCATGCTTGTCGCACTTCGGACATGCTTTCTACAATTGTATGTTAATATACTTCCGTCGTATTTAAATTATTGTACTTGTTTCAAATGTTAGTCTTTTTATCTTTTCTTGTTTCCTCCGTTCTCTACCTCTACTAACGAGTTTGTTTTTTCAGTGTTGATTTCCCTTTGTTGTTTGACGCAGCTGTCCTGTAGTTGGTCTGTGTGGTGCTGTAGTTGGTCTGTGTGGTGCGTAGTTGGTCTGTGTGTCCTGTAGTTGGTCTGTGTGGTGCTGTAGCTGTTAATTTTCGCTGTGGAATTGGTAGTCGGCAAAGAGCAGCTAATTAAATTTTTTTTCTCCCTCCGCAACAGGTGCGGCGTCCGTGGCTAAGGCGTTGCGAGTCCGACTCGTAAGCCAGCATGCCGCGATCGAAACCCACTGCAGGCTGCGTGGATTTTTATCGTGGTATGGGACGTCGCAGGTCGACCCAGCCTAAAATGGGTACCAGGATGGGCTGTCCTGGGAAAGTAAAGACAGCCGGCGTAATGCTGACCACATTACCCACAGATGGTCTGTAAAAATATGGGACGCTCTGCCCATATGCCCGATGCGCCGAAAGGCGCGAAAAAGGTACCAGAAGGCACCGTAAAAAAAAAAATTTAAAAATTAAGTTACAACTATAGATTTGACTAGAAACCAATATGTGAGGCAAGCTTTTTCTCATACAAAAAGTGTTTTAAAAATAAAACGGATGAGATATCAGGTTTAACTCTATGTGATAAAAGCCATATAATGTATACTAGTTTCCGATTAGGTATTTTTATCATGAACACGAAAATACATAACACACAAACATTAATTATGACAATGGACTCAACTCTTATGATGCTACCAAATGACAGAAGGTAAATGGCAAATCCCCACATGGTAGGGTGGTTCCAAAACATGTCCGCCAGCAAATTGTTCCTTGATCTTGAACAATCAGCGTTATAGTCCTGGAACTAAACATGTCAATTTTTTATTGTATACTTAAATTCATACATCCAATTCTGTAAAATGCTGATATGTGTGTGTGTGTGTGTGTATATATATATATATATATATATATATATATATATATATATATATATATATATATATAAGTTATTGGCAAGACAGGGACATGGTTTCGCTTGCATTCATGTACTTATTTAGGATGTAAGGCTCACTGTGCAAACATTTTTTACGCCCCCTTTCACTCTCCTCAATTCACAGAAAAGCAACAATAGGTTGCTAAATTATTTACCTAAGATTTTAACTGTATTGAAGTATCTAAACGTAACTATATATAAAACAAAGGTGCAGACTGGAATTAAAAACTATTATGGTAAGCACGCTGAAAAAAATAACTTACTTTGATAGGCTACATAAACAAATTATTCTACATCTACCCCGACGTTTAGGTCGGTCAAAAAATTAGGTAGAAACATTACAATTTAATCATCACTTTGCGAAATTATTGGAACTTATAGAAACATCGTCTAGGTTTTGCGTTGACAAATGCAGTTATTACATCTCTGCGTAAAAACACAAAATAAGGACATTATTATTTGTATGCGACCAATTTGTTTCTGAGACAGATCCAATTAGGAATATCTTAGGACACAGGGAGGGTGGGGGGGGGTGAGGGGGGGGTGGGGGGGGGGGGTACGTGTCTGAATAGATGTTTCTTAGAAACTGTGACTTGTAAGAACAATTGCAACTGTATCAAGAAAGATGTGGACAAAAGTAAAACACATACAGCTATACAAAATATAAACTATCTTCCTGGCATTGGAGAACATGGCTACTCCTCAGGTGGAAACTAACGTTTCAAGAACATTGAGATAAACAAACTGGGATGGCCGAAGACGATGGCATGCAATAGAATTTTCAATAGAACCCCATTAAGGCGGGGTCGGGGGTGGGGAGGGGGAGAGGGATACAGCAGTCCCATTGTTCCTTAAAAGGCATGTCGTTAAACGCTTCTAATTAAGGAGTTGCTTAAATCGATGTTCTATCTGAAAAGTGAATAACGCAGCCTAGCTATAAATAACGCACAAATATCCTTTTTCAGGGCGATCGCAGAAGAAAATGATTCAGGATTGAAAGCATTGTAATATACTCACCAAAACATTTAGTTAAAGAAAAAAAAAGAAAAAAAAAACTATGACAATAATTTTCTCCTTTTTCTCCTGTTCTAAACTCCAACAAGTCTTAGGTTTTCATCCACTTCACAATTTGTTCTCTTTTCAAAAACTGTATTTTGCGTGCCAGTGGAATTGGAACTCTTCGCTTGCTGATGAAGATGGGGACAAAACGCTGATTTTGATGTCTCCAGTGATGTCTTGTCGAATCTTATTTCAACATTCAACGTTCAAAATCGCTTATTTATATACACCTGTTAGTCCCTGCTTCTCATGAAGATGCTGTCCGACTTTGAAGGAAACATTTTTCGATGTACGTTAGCCAGGACCCCGTCTCGGAACATGTTATAAGGCTTCGAAGAAAGAAGACACAAACAAAAGGTTGCACAATAATTGCCAAGCATATTTTGCAGAATCTCGCCAGGTGCACACTACAGTAACAATTGATTAAAATAAAGCAAATTAATGAATCCTTAAAACTGAAACACAAAGTCGACTACATTGACATGTGTTTCAGTTGCAAGGATTCATTTATTTGCTTCATTTTAATAAATTATTACTGTAGAATGCACCTGACGATATGCAGCGAAGTATATCAGGCAATAAATTGTCTATCTATTGTCCGATAAATACCTGATGACACAATGTGCCACCATGTGGATGAGGATCACCGTGTAGAGGTCCCAGAAACCCCGTTTGATTATATTAGAGCCCCTGCAACAGCCGGTGTGGTGCTTCAAAATGACAAAAACTGTGTCCCGTTAGAGGCATGAAACCAAAACAGGAAGGGTATCCAAATGTTGTATTTTACCCCATTAATAATTTGTATGGGAAACAGTTTGTGCTATACGGCGGAAAGTCACCAGCTATGAACTTAAAGTTGACCTTTCTGGTTTTGTTGCAAAGGTTTAACAATTTGTCAACAGGCATTCAAAACAAACACAGAGCAGGAAATTAGCTGTTAATGAACGCAATTCTTTAGTGAAGAGTTTTCTCTCTTGGTTTTAATTGTTAATCAAACAGTTTGGCCTCCTTTCTATGGGTATTCTTGAACGGTTGTGCTATGCCTGTGAATCCAGGACAATTAATAAATAATTTCTTGAGGTCTCCCAGATGTAATTTTTACAGAAAAAAAAAACCATCAGATCTGCCAGATGTTCTGAAAGAGGCGAGGCCTCGATGAGAACTTATCACAACAAACATCAGAATGAGACAGTCATAAATTTTTGGTCGTCTCCCACGCTAGTCGGCAAAGTACTTGATAATGATGATTTTAAAAAGACAGCGTGATGACAAAGTTTAGCCATTTGCTGGTTTTTTTTTACAATTACTTGACTCAGAGTTAGTGTGTTCAATGTAAATTAGATTAGATATATAGATATTAAATTCGTGATCAAAGGCACCACTGTACAAGTTCTATTTCATATAGGAGCGAAAGGTTAAGCAGTACAGAACACTAAACTCTCATCCCGGAGACCTAGGTTCGAATACTTGGCAAGGGTGTTGTTTTATTTCTCCTTGGAGCAAAATTAAAATTATAACCTGCACAATTTCAGGCGACTGCGCTATGCTACCCTACATCTTTAGCCTCAACAACCCCCCCCCCCCCCACATCCCCATCCCTACCTCCCACATAACCCTAAAAAGTTGTAAGTAAAGGCGGGTAACAGTTTTAAAAAATATATATGTTTATATGTATCATAGCACATACAAGTTAAAGTCGTTAAAGCAGCCAGGATCGACTTTATTGCGCCGGATATTATCCTACACCACCCCCCCCCCTCATCTCTCTCCCTCTGTCTCCCCCACAGAACGGCTAGCCACCTGCCGAAAGCATAGCACCAAGCACGAACGCCTTAGCTCCGGCACCAATCCCAAAGGATAAAGTTTGCACTCGTTAAACGAAGGAGGTTGCCGTGAAACGAACACAAGACCTCCAAAGCGCGAGGCAAAAGGCTTGACTACTTGGTCACGACCTTCAGCTAAAGCATATGTATGACATCATTCATCAACATTAAATGTGTGTACATGAATGTATACGTATGTGTGTAACATGTATGCATGTATAGGCGTGTTTGTATGATTATGTGTACGTACGAGTGTATGTATGGTTAATTTTATACGTTTGTGTGTATGTCTGTATGTGTGCGTGTGCGTGTGTGTATGTGAATGTCTCTGTGTGTGGGCGTGTGTCTGTGAGAGTGTCTGTGTACGAGTCTGTAAGATGTCCGTGTGCGTGCCTGTGTGTGTCTGAGTGTGTGTATGTGTGTGTGTTTGTGTGCAGGCCTCTGTGTGTGCATGTCTGTGTTGGTGTGTCTGTGGTGTGTGTCTCTATGCGTGTTGTTATGTATATATATGTGTTTCAGTATGCGTGTATGTATGTATGTATGTATGTATGTATGTATGTATGTATGTGACTTTGTCTGTGTGCGCGTCTATCTGCTTGTTTGTCTGTGTGCGTGTAAGTGTACCTGGCTGTCTGTTTTTGTGTGTCTGTGGGTACGTGTCTATGTGTGTGTTTGTATGTGTATCTGTATGTGTGGCTGTGTGTGTTTGTGTGTCTATGTGTGTGTTTGTATGTGTGTGCCTGCGGGGTTCTCTGTATGTGTGTCAGTGTGTCTGTGTATGTCTGTGTGTATCTGTGTATGTGTCTGTAGGTATGTCAGGATGTGTGGCTGCGTGTGTGTCAGTGTGTCTATGCCTGTGTGTGTCTGTGGCTGTGTGTGTCTCTGTGTGTGTGGCTTCGTGCGTATCTGTGTCTGTGGTTTAAAAAAGATAATGTCTACGTGTGCATGTGTCTGTGTATGTGTGTTTGTGTGTTTGTGCGTGCGTCTGTGTGTGTGACAGTGTGTATGTCTGTGTTTGTGGCTGTGTGTGTTTGTGTTTGTGTGTGTGTGTGTGTTGTTCTCTCTTTGTGTGTGTGTCTATTTGATAATGTCTGCCTGTGTCTCTGTTTGTGTCAGTTTGTGTGTTTGTGTGTATGTCTGTATGTCTGTGTGCGTATGTGTGTCTGCGTGTGTGGCTGTATGCGTGTCTGTGTATGTGTGAGTGTTTTGTATGTCTCTCTGTGTGTCTGTGTGTGTATGTGTCTGTGTGCGTGTCTCTGCCTGCGTGTGTTTATGTATCTGTGTGTGTGCTTGTGGCTGCGTTTGTGTGTGTATGTGTGTGTTTGTTTATGTGTGTGTCTGCATATATATGCGTGTGTGTGTGTGTGTCTGGGTTACTTGCGTGTTAGTCTTAGAGTGTGTTTATGAGAGTGTGTGTGCGTAACTGTGTGTATGACGTGTGTATGTATGTATGTATGTATGTATGTATGTATGTATGTATGTATGTATGTATGTATGTATGTATGTATGTATGTATGTATGTATGTATGTATGTATGTATGTATGTATGTATGTATGTATGTATGTATGTATGTATGTATGTATGTATGTATGTATGTATGTATGTATGTATGTATGTATGTATGTATGTATGTATGTATGTATGTATGTATGTATGTATGTATGTATGTATGTATGTATGTATGTATGTATGTATGTATGTATGTATGTATGTATGTATGTATGTATGTATGTATGTATGTATGTATGTATGTATGTATGTATGTATGTATGTATGTATGTATGTATGTATGTATGTATGTATGTATGTATGTATGTATGTATGTATGTATGTATGTATGTATGTATGTATGTATGTATGTATGTATGTATGTATGTATGTATGTATGTATGTATGTATGTACGTATGTACGTACGTACGTACGTACGTACGTACGTACGTGCGTGCGTGCGTGCGTGCGTGCGTGCGTGCGTGCGTGCGTGCGTGCGTAGGTAGG